ACTTTACCGTTATGTAAAAAAGAACAAGACTTATTGGCACCATAGACCATCCACTAGTGGCCTACCCCACAGTAGACAGATTATTCCCATCTATTCTTCTCCCTCCTGATATGGTTCTCACTCTGGCTGCTGGATTCAAGAGCAGCAGAAATGCTCCAGATTTGCTGGGTAAACACCCCTTCGGCATAGGGAATTTAAGACAAGAGTACAGGATATGACTAGGATCGGGGGTTGGCCAAGGACAGGAGGCATGATGCGGCAGGGTCATCACACATAGTGCTACAGACCCCAAATTCAAAAATAGGCACTCAGGACAGGCAAGTAAAATTACCATAACCTGAACATTTTGTTGAACCTGTCTGAATTACCAAGGACTGATGTAGCCCCTGGAACAGCACATAAGTAGAAGGGAGCAAAAGGTAGCTGAAAGCCATCTTCTTATCTACTCCACTCTATTCAGCTTAAGGTTCTGTACTGCCTTTTAACCATATTACCATTTTTATAAAAAGAGTTTCGGACCAGAACAAACCATTAAGTCATCTAGTCTGACTCCTTGGTTATCAGTAGCCATTAAAATTTTACCTAGCTAGTCACATATAAAAATTAATGTGAGGCTAATATATCTTCCAAATAGCTAACTTTTGGTCTGAACAAATGAAGTCTAACACTCCCCCTAACACTTTGTTAAGTGGTTAAATCACCCTCACTTTTAGAAGTATGTATAATTTCAAGTTTGAACTCGTCTTGGTTCAACCTCCTTTTATTTATTTACTTTTACAAAAGGTCTCAATGTGACCCCTAAAGCTTTTTCTTTGTTATTGCTTTGCAAGGCACAGTCCTCCATTTTCTAGACCAGGCTTGGCTTCCTTGTTCTTAGACACAAATTTGTGTTTGGCTGTATTAAAACAGTTTTGCTCTAATAGGCTCAACTTGTCAAACACCCTCACTTAAGTTATTTTATTTTCTATTTTAGGAATTATTTTAGAGACTGAATGAATTGCTGAAATAAATCAGAATTTATATCCTTGTTCTGTTTGTTTTTGGTTTGGTTTTGTTTTGTTTGTGGAATTAACTCCTAGAGTCCTGTCAAGCCACGGACTTTGACACCCTCTCCTCTTACCTCCCCAACCCCCAAAGCAATACTCTCTACCATCTATCTAAGTATTAGCAAAATGCCTCTCTTCCCCTGCTTCACCTTTGGAATTGCCACCTCTCAGCTATAACAAGTTACTCCATGATCTTGTATTAACACAAAAATAAACACTGTTGACTTTCTCTATACTATTCAATATTGACGATCTACTCTATTTGTGATTTTGTGCTTTTCACGGAAATCATGACAAAAAAGCAGTTTCCACAAACTCCATAAACATGGCAATACCCACAATTTTGGTGAAGAGTCAAAGAAATAGAAAAAACTTACTAAAAATAAAATGCTGGCCCCCCCATGGGAGCCAGCAGTCCTCAGGGCTGGTGCAGCCCAGCTTCACAGCCTGCCTGAAGGAAGGGACAGGGAGCCACTGGCATGAGCAGGAAGCAGCAAAGATGACCTGCCCCGCCCCCCGCTGCTGATTGGAGAGGGGTGGATCTGCACAATGGACAGCCCTCTTGGCCAATCAGCTACAACAGGTAGGGCCACACAATGGGCAGCCAACTTGCCAATCAGCAGCAAAGGTTGGGAGAGTCAGGGCCCCACCGGCCAATCAGTGGTGGATGGCAGGGAGGGGGACTACCACAAAAAGACCACTAAAATGGCACCATAAGCAGCCTGTGACTTTTCCCGCACCTCAACAGGAATTAGGTAAATCCGTATTCACTATATTTTTTCATAGCAGGTCTATCTTATGAATTTTGCTTTTTAGTTAAACAAACCATGATGGAAACAAACAAAAAGAGGTAAACGTGGGCTTAATAATGAGTATTTAAAAAGCTTGCTACTGGTGTTTTCTCCATTGGTCAGATCCTGGAAATTCATAAAAA